ACACAAAGGGTCGCCCCTTTGTATGATTTGGAAAAATCCATTTTTGGTGATGGACCCAAAAATTTTTCTAAATGCTAATTTTGAGCGGAGCGAGCGCCGAAAAAAAAGAAATTTTTTGGTCGAAATTTTTCAAAAATTGCCTTAACACGCCTTTTGACCAGTTTTTTTCAAAATTTTAGCTGCGGCATGAAAATTTGGTCAAAATGGGGTCTTTATAGTGATTTAGGAGAGCTCAGAAAATCAAATTGGTCGACCTAAAAAAGTGGTCGACCTTAAAAAAGGTCGACAAAATTTTCAATTTTTTGAAAATCCGCCCCCCTTGAAAAAAACCTAGATCCGCCCCTAATATTAATATTCGCCGAATATAAAAACGGCAGAATTATGCAAAACTTTCAAATTGTCAGACCGCCCGCAAGTTGGAACAAATTTTATGTTTCAAGGGTTTTGTTATAAAATAAGCAAAACACTGCTTCATTTAATTCCTCTTGACTGTTTTTGTTTTCGGTACTCCGCCATGAGTCCTTTGTCCATAGCAAGAGCCACCATTACTTATATTCAACGAGAATTATGCAAGTTTCTAAAAAACTACCTCTAAGAACTAAAACAAAAAAAATCTTGACCCCAGCCATTCAGCCGCAAAAAACTGACATCTATTTCAAAATCTTTTTTGTTGCTAATTTTTCGAGGCCAGAAAAACCAAATGTATGAAGTTATATTTAGTGCTCAAAATTGAATTTTTTAAATACTGAAAGACTTATTGGAATAAAACACAGAAGGTACGCGAACAAATATTCAGACAAAACCCAAACAACCGACAAACAAATCAGATTAGTTAAGAAACATTAAAAAATGCATTTGCATGATAAAAAACAACCATCTTGCCTTAGCACGACAATTTTCAGTCAACCTGTGACAAATTGCTTAACGGAAAACTCTTTAAGTCAAAAACTCTCGAATTCAAAAATCCGGATCAATCCAAACTTGTTTTCATCTGAACATTTGATTTTAACTTTGAAAACGTGCAATTTTTGCTCTTATTTCAGTTTCTTCCCCAGAAAGCGATACTTCTCAGATTAGCTAGCAGAAATTATTAGAAAACCAATGACAAAAAGCCACTGCCAAAAAATAAGATTAAACGAGATAAATATTCAAACCAAAAAGAACCACTCTTACGAAAACAAAATTTAAAATTTTGGTTTTGTTAAATTGCGAGTGAAGATCAATTTCCGTTCCAAGAATTAGTTTAGCAGCGCAGATAAAAATAAAAAGAACGATGCTAAACCAATTTTGGACATCTTTTTGCCATATACTTAATCCCGAAATATACTAAAAACTCTCACCTGCTTTTCTCGCAACGGAGTAGTTTTCTTTAAAACTTCAACTGACTTGCGACTGAAAAGCTCAAAACTGATCTGATACCATCGATTCCTTGCGAACTTACTTGAGGCATCTGAAGGAGGTGGAAAATTTGACAGCAATTTCAGCTTATATTATGGAATAGGTGGATGCAGCAACAGTTAAAACACAAGTTATCTGACTGTTATCGCCATTATCACTCACCAATCATTAATACAAAATCGAAAAGAATGTTCTAATCTGTTATTAATACAAGTAGTAAAAAATCAAACCATTTTCGAAAAATGGAAACTTTCTTTGTCGAGTATTTCAGGAGAGTTATTTTAAACTCATGCTCAAAACATGGGCAACATACAGTAAAAAGTGTTGACGTAACAGGGAAAAAATCAGGGCAAAGAATATGCCACCTCATAGCTCTTTCAACTTCTAAAATCTTCAACACTTGACACTTTAATACGCTAATTACACAGATACGAAGCGTAACTTGGCTAAAACTTCAATGAAACTAAAGCATAGCATTACAGCTTATCGACACAAAAGCAAAGCTGGACTTCGCATACACAAGCGAAAAAGCGACAAAGAGTAGCTCTTCCAAAATCAAACACTAAAAAAATGAAACAAAACAAAAACTATGAAAAGAAAAACTCGCTACAACTGTAGATTTTCCAGAATCTAACCACCAATCTCGAGATTAATAATCATCCGTCCTAGCTTCTACTCCATGCGCACTTGAAAATTCTCAAACACTATACACCAAAAAACCATATACAAAAATAAAATGTTAATGCAGCAAAAATAAACCAGACTAGGGGTCAGTCACAGCTGGAGGTAAATGTTTTATAATTTCAAATGAGCTGACGCTTATGCATAAATTTCAAAACTCCAAAAATTGAAAAGTTCTCGGCTAATTATTTATCAAATTAACTGAGAAAAAGTTTTTTCGAGGGAGATCAGTAGAACATCCCCTTTTGATTAATTTCTTAACCTCTGAACTGGCATGGTGGTTTGGATAATTGAGCGAAGTCCACAAAGGGGGACAAAATGTCATTTATTCCCTGTTAACAAGATCCATAGCGAATTCCTCGTCAGAATTGGTAGAATCAGTCTTTGCACTGGACTCCTAATTCTTGTTCGTTCCATTGAAACCTCCATTGCAAAATTGTCACGATAGTTTTAAAGAATATCAAAACTGTCACTATTACGAAAAACGAAATGTTTTAGGTCCAAAATTGCTTCCTATAGAATATAAGCCCTGAGAGCTTAAAAGGCAAAAAATCATGGCCTCTTAAAAAGCAAAAATATTGAAAAAAGAAAATTAAAAAGACAAATATTGGATGTTTTAATTCCATAGGTGATTGGTAAATTCCGTTGATGCAGGGGATATCCCTAAAACTTGTTCTCCAATTGCAACCTTACCCTCAGATTTGGCTCACTATTTCAAAACGAAGACTTTCTAAAATAAATAGATTTTCTAAAGAAAATTTTAAGCGAGCAAAAAGAAGAGCAGAAAAAATTCAGTTAGTTGTCCTTTTAATTAAACCTTAACTCACAGATTTGGCAGTGTAGTTTCCAACGAAATTTTTGAGAAATGGCAAAAATTATAAAAGGATTCTCTTAAATCAACAAGTTTTCTCCAAACAGTACGTGCAAAGCGGCTTATGCAGAACAAAAAATAAGGACCTAGCCACTTTCAAGCGTGGAGGAGTCCTGACACCATATTTTCAGATTGAACTCTTGATCTCGGATTTAAAGAGGATAGTTTTCGAGAAGAAAATATTTTCGAGGAAACGATCAACAGTTCAAAATTTGGGCATTTTCCAGGGCCATAACTATTTTCTACAAAAACAAGGGCGTAGCAGTTTATGCAGATGAGACTCTGCACACAAGGGAGTAGCCGTTCTTTTCATCGGTCTTTCAACCAAATTTGTGAAAACAGTATGCCGCCAAAAATAGCACAAGATTTGCGACTTAGGTTCGGAATTGAAAAGCACTTCGTGTTAAGACACTGCGCTTCATTATTTGAACAGAAATTAGGACCGAAACTAACAAAAAAAATTATAAAAATAATGTTAGCTAACTACGTCTACAAAAACTTCATAACAATTTGTCTCGACTGATGTTCCAAAAACTTAAGACACAGTCGATAAGCACTATCAACAGTGTTAAGCAAGTATTCAGAAGCAAAACCATAAAATTTTATTTTAGCTGTTTGAACGACCAATATAAACAGCGATCAAAATTAAACGACTTGAACAAAAAAAACAAGGATAGCCGGTGTGTGCAAGTACCACAGAACACGTAGTCTTAAAAAATAAAAATAAAAGTTTTTCTAGAACTTAGGCATAATCGAGAGTCATGATAAATTAGGCAAATAGAAAAACAGTTTTTGTAACAAAATGAATAGAAAAACGAAAAGGAAATTGTACAAAAAAATATTTTGCAGAAAACTTGATTTCGGCATAAATAGGCTGTTTGAAGCCTGCTCGCTTGTCCTATTTGCTCGAACAATGGTCGGAACAATAAGCAGAAACAATACGAAAAACAAAACTGAAAAGAGCAACTTCATCACAACTAAACTTGGTCAATTTACAAATTGGAGAACGACTTTCAAGACAGAGGCGAAACTAAGCTTCGCGCCGCTTGCGATTCAAAACAATAAGGCCGCTAAAAAGAAAAAACATTGAAAAACACTCGAAACGATCAAAATAAAAAAGGCTAGCTTTGAAAAGAAAAAATGCAAAGGTGAAAGCATGTGCAATTAGCATCAATCGAATGAAAATTTGCCAAAAGGTAAGAAAACCGAAAGTACCCTAGCAGAAACCCATTAAGCCGAAAAACAATCAAAAAGACTTCAGCTTCATTCAGCTGTTATAAAATTTACCATTTGACTATTCTGTGAACAAAGTTAATTACTGAAAAAAGTCTAGTACCCGGTCGCAATACCCATGCTTATCGCAAGTGTAACTATATAACAATTGTATAATTCAGATAAAATTCAATGCTTTAAAATTAAGTCGACAAAATAAAATCAGTTGTTGAGGTTCCATCATAAAGCAAGTCCCAACTTCTTTCAGATTTCCAAAAATTGCTTACCAAAAAAAGTCTAGTTTAAAAAATAACCCAATGTACGATAAGTAAACCAGTAGTTACATTTTTAATCTTTCGCAGTTTGATTTTCTAAATATTATTCTCCACGGTCAGGTAACGTTTTACCTAGAGAAAATTGCGTGTCTCAGTTTTCATTTGCCTTTCGCTTTAATTAAAAGAAATAACTCGCGGGTTAGTTATCTCAAATTGGCAATTTTCAAATCCCCATATCTGTGAGAAAAAAATTTAAAAAATCTGGGGCGCGTGTGAAATATGTTTTAAACTTTCAGCTTACGATATCAATAGCTCTAAAATGATATAAAAACGCTCAAAAATGGCTGGCCAAAAAATCCGAGTCTTCTCAAAAAAAACAACCCTGATCTAATATTCCAACATGTTCTTCGGAAGTTGGATTAGTTAAGTATGTTTAAAAAATACATGATCAAGGAAAATCATTTGTCTGATTTTACTGTTCTTGACAATATGAGAAAATGTATGGTTTTTCAAAATCACGCAAAAAAAACGTCAAGGAAAATAAATTTTATTAATTTTGGGAGATTTATAACTAGTATCTATTTTCTACAATAATATCCAAACCGTTTCGTCTAAAAGATCAGTTTTATAAACTACATATGACTATCTTAACTCGTCATAAACTTGTCATGACTTAGATTAGTCATAACTGCCTTGCTGAATGTATCCGCTAAACAGAGCTTGACCTCCCGTTATAGAGGTCAACGGACGCGGATCACTTCCATCTGGGGTCAAATCAAGGTCATCAAACTGCCCGCTAATCCACCCAGGCCCTCTGTTATGTAATAACGGATTCACAGTTGCTTTTAACTTCTCGAAATCTTTTTGCAGCTGTGCTTCATAGTCGACTTGGTCGGGTTTGATTACTTTTCGATTCTCGGTCAGACCTTTTTTGCAGAGCCTGATGAACTTTTTGAAGAGTAAACGGAGATCGTCGTGTTCCAAAGTCCACTCGCCATCTGAACATAAACAGGTTTTAATCTATCTCAATGAATTCTTCGATCCTAACAAGGATAACCACCGAATGATATTCAAATTTCTCACCATGCAGGAAATAGAAATTTAATGCGGTAACTAGAGAGCTGATTCTGCACAGATATTAGAAGGTTCCGACCACAATTAATTGAAACAAACTTAACACAGAGGCAAAGCGGAGCTTTGCATCACTTGCGATACCACAAAAAAAGGCATTGCTAGGAGACAGAAAGAGAGCCACTAAGTCCAAAAAACTGCAAAATTGTCAAAGAAACGACAGCTAAAACACTTCAGTATGTTGTCTGGAAGGCCGTTCGATTTGCTAAAACACCTCCAGAAACACATTCAACGGCGTTTAATGAAAATTCAAAATCAATTTTTGAGCGAAAATAAAATTGTTGCCATGAAGAACTATAAATTCTATTCTCAGATTTTTAACGTTTTGTGCAACACGGACGAAAGCATGCAAATTATGGTTCCCTCAAACGACATAGAATTAAATGAGTAAGCCGATCAAATATAAGCCGAAAACATTAAAGCCTAAAACTTTTCAAAGCGAAAAAATCAAAATAATGAAAACATACGAAGTCAAGGCTAGTAGAATTACAGGTGCAAACGAAAACATAAAAAGCAACTACAACGAAAACTGCATGCAGCAAAAAAAATTAAGATGTGGCAAGTACACCTACAAAACATGAGGAGGCAAATCAGAAGCCGACAAGTTTTTTGAAATGGAGAATTTCCTTATTGAAAAAAAAAACAGGTCATGGTCAGATTCGAAACCAGGACCTTTGCCATCCCGGGCATATTCGTTGCCTCCAGACTAAGTGGCCGGTAACAATTAGAAATTCGAATTCATAATGAAGCAAGATACCAGAAGCTTCTGTTAAGCAAAGTGGTAACCCGAAAAAAGCCTTTAAAACAATCTAAAACTGGCAAAAATATAGAAAAACTTTCTTGTTCGTTTCTAAAAAAAGCATGACTGATTGACTAATGCAAAAAAGAGAATGATATAAAAAAAAATTGTAGACGTAAGCTGTAACATATCTCTAATCACACTTCATTTAATTAAGTCTAAAATTAAATTTTTCAGTCCAGTATTTCACGGCTTTGAGACAACGCTTTTCATTCTTAAATACCCGAAGGCTTCAGATGATGCCACAGTTGAATCCTACGTGATAACTTTTGGCAGTCAAAATTGGGAAAAATTATACCCAGCAAATAGTTCTTTTTAACATCATTTTATTCATAAAACAGGGCAATTCTTTCCATAGAAAATCTTAACATTTAAATGGTTTCCGACGTGCATTCAAAAAGAAACCAGAACATTTTTCAACATCGATGAGAAGACTTTTCTGACTAATTACACAGATTCGAAACATAAGTTCGCATCACTTGTGATACAATACAAACAAAGCACGACAAATTGATGGGCAGAAAATGAAATAAAACCGCTATCGCAAGGGGAAAAAAGGGAAAAAAAGATCTACCATAATTTTCATGTTTCTCGTATATTTCATGAAAAAAAGTTATTTTTGAGAAAAACATGCCAAAAAATACATTTGAATGTTAAATAAGCATCGCAACAAAGTTTTACGAAGCCGTCACAAAGCCGACAATACTTGAGCAGACATACGTTGAACCGAAAAAAAATTGATCACAAAAAAACAAAGATGATACAATATAAGCTGATATCTTTAAAACAGATTAAGCACAAGAAGAAAATAAATAAAATTTCAATAAATCCGATTTGGTAAACTTGCAACCAACATAAAAAGCAACTTTCGAGTGTAACGGGTATTTAGAATGCAGACATGCTCAAAATATTATGCAAGCTTATTGACAAAAAAAACAGATTCGAAGATCAACAAAAATTGGATATCCTGTGAACAATTTACAGGAAAAAGGTAAGTACCCGGTTGCAACACCCTTGTTTATCGCAAGGATAATGAATATTAAGGAATTAGGATATGGTAATTGTAGATAAAATTATGCCTCACTTGCAACAGAAAAAAAAGATTGAGAACAACAGTTCGTGCATTAATTAACACCGAAGGTAATTTTTTAACACCAAAAACTAGGATCGAACAACTATATTTTGAAAAAGAATCGACCTGGATATTTTTTGTCTGAAATGATCGAAACACAGAATTAGAATACATTGAGTCCACTCCGCATTCAAAAATTATATACACTTAAACTTTGAAATACAAATTTTAAAACAGTAGCTGCAAACAATCAGCTGAGAAAATTATATATTAGCATAACTTTAAACCAAATTCAAAATAAAGATGACCGATTTGCCATTTCAGAGCATTAATGCGTGATTTAAAAGACCAAATTACAAACGGTCCGGCTTTAATATTTTTGGTTATTTTCATCTTATTTATCGAATTGAGAAATAGTCTTACCTCCATCTGCATCAATGTCATCCACATTAAGGAATGTGAGTGCTATCTCAGTGGGTCCTTGATTGACAGTAGTCCCAATGCACCCCTGCAGTATCAGTTGAAGTCTCTTCCCGTCTACAGGCCGGGGACCACCTGTTGTAAAAGCAACTTGGCAGATGAAACTTATTTCGACGCTTTTATTACATTTGCGTTTACGGCATGTGGGTGGGATGTTTTTCGAGTTGTTCGAATGTTTGCATGTACATTTTTTCAATAACTGCATACAAATGTTTGAATGTAATCTTTTCTACTCAATTTGCATGTACCCATGTGACATTTCTTAACAGTTTACATTTTTCCATTGTTTCGAGTTGTTTTTTTTTTATTAAAAAAAACCTCAAAATTAATGTCAATGAACTGCATCCGCTTTTCCTTATGATAATTTGAATGGACTAAATTTTAAAAAAGCATTGTGTCAGGGGCGGATTTGGGGGGGGGGGGCGGACGCCTAAAGTTTTTCTAAAGGCGAATTTTTGGCCAAACTTTTCCAAAAACTTCCGAAAACGACTCTTTTGGCTTGTTTTTTCAAAATTTGATTCGACTTGAAAAAAGATCGACAAGATTTCCGAAATTTTTATGAAAATCCGCCCCTCTCCTCCCGAGAAAACCCTAGATCCGCCCCTGCATTGTGTCAAGCAATGTACCTGGATTGATGACCTTTCCGCTGGAGGTCAAGGGGTCAAACATGACTCGTTCTTCGGGTGGGATGTGCAGCACTGCCTCGAACTGCTGCAGTTTCTTAGTCAGATCTTCCTTCGCAACTTGGATAGGGGTCAAAATCTACACACGAAAAAAATTAATGAAGTTGAGGAAAAAATTATTCAAAACCGATTCAATTTATATAAATAAAGCTTGCAAACTTCCAACATTCCAAAAAATGTTGGATAATTGTTTTGATACTAGGAGAACTCTGAACACATTAAAAAACCTGGAAAAATTGAATTTGTAAACCTATTCAGATACGGAAAACTTGGTAAAAAGTATGTTCTACAGTCTATTATATAACACATGGTGTTTGACCCCTATGAATTTGGATTTTTGCAACGAGCTTCGTGACAAGCGATTCCAGACATATAACTCGAGTAAAATTTTTAGAAGATTAGGGACAACAGTTGCGTTTTTGTAAAGGGCTTAATTTTTTCCGTTTTTTGAAATCAAACGTTTATTTTCAGCCCTATGAAAAAGTTTTCAGTTGTATTTAACTAGTCAAATGTTTCACTTTTTTGGAAGCCAACGTTTATTTTCAGCCCTAGTAAAAAAAATTGTCGGTTGAATAAATTTTCCAATACGAAATTCGCATAAAAACCGAGACTAACCTCTTCACTTCTGCCAATCACTTCAAGTCTTGTCTTCAAATACGGAAATACCTGTTCCGTTTTCAACACAACTCTCTTTTTATACTGCTCTTTCAAACCACCATGCGGTCGGCCGCTTTTCGTAAACGGAATATTATATACAAACTCATTAATATTTTTATTCCTCTCGAAATTATTCGACATTTCAATATCTCGATAATAGTCAAAATAAGGCTCAACGTAAGTAACTTGAATATACGCTTTATTGTCATCAAAGTTATTTCGCTCAACTAGATTCGAACTTTTCAAGATTTCGACCACATTTGGCTGACCAAAACGTTCTTGATAAAACGCTTCTAATCTGTTGGAAATGACTGAAAGTTGCGCATACGGGGCTTCTTTATAGACAAACTCTTTGCCGTCAAGGTCTTCAAAAAGCTTTCCGTAAAATCCGACTCTGAAATAAGTACTGAAAGACCTTTTTCCAGTTTCTTCGAGATTTAGAATTTTGTCACAATTTTCTTTGATTTTCATGTTGTAGTCGCTTAGAATTCGATAATCCCTTGGATTTTTTCCGTGCATTTCAATTAACCGTTCGAAACACTTGATCGAAAACTCGAATAACTGAGCTTTGTGGAAATATTTTGCAGCTTCTTCAAGATGCGTGACAACTTTTTCTTTCGACAAACAATTATTGAATGAGGACCAACTTTGAGGAGTGTAGTCGAAAATGCACTCTTCTAGAACATTCTGGGAGATGTCTTCGAAGTCAGTGGCTCCGATTGGTAAGGTTTCATCTTGTTCGATTGAGTACAGACCTTCAAACGCGATGGATTACAGAAGCTATTTTGTTTTACAATATATATGTTATACAATATATATGCATATGCCACTATAAAAAAAACTTATTTAACCCAAGAGCAAATTGAACTCTCAAAAAATTTCTTATTATAATATCAAAACTCGAAAACAGTATATGTTTTATCCACAAGGGAAAACACTTTGTAAAATTTTGATTTAAAATTTTTTTGGTAAACTATCATTACAATCATGTTCATACGACCCATGATCACAGGCACCCATTACTGTAATCCATCGTCAATCACACTACCTTCACAAACGAAAGCAGCCGAATGAAGAGCACACATGGCTGCTTCAGCGAAGTTCTGATGTTCCTTGTGTTTCAGTCTCATATTATCGAGCCACGTAAGTCGCAGTTGAATCGAGCTCTGATATCCTTTCGCAACTTGGTACATCAAATCCATATGCATTTCCAAATCTTTATCAAACTCGTGCATTTTGATCGTATTGAGTAAAATCCCTTTCAAATTTGAAACCAAATCCTCAATTTGAGACGGAAAACTAGTTTGTAAAAGCTCCGAATCTTTAACCGAGTAAGTACTCAAACTCTGAATACTTTTCTGTAAATTCGCCGCTTTATCTTGGTCCAAAATGTTAACTAATGACGATAAGGCAACTATAAGTTGGATTTTGAGCCTCGAAAGTGAATTTCCGCTTGTCAGGTCGAAACAAAGTCTCATTATGAAATATAAAACAATAGTAGCTTGAGCTCGAACATTAATATCCTTCATGCAACTAATTCTGAGTAACCTTAGACATAATTCAGCGCATAATTCCGAGTCGTCTAGGAGTACAAATTGAGCGTGTTCCTTGATTGCGATTCGAACTAAATTTAGAGTTGCAAGGTAAACTTCAGGCGTTTGATTTCTCGACAAAACATCAGTCAAAAGCACAACACACTCCTTTGTCATGAAGTTAGAAACATTCCCTAAACTTACGATTTCCAACATGAAGTCGGTTAAATCGAGGCAAACTAAAATAGTTTCACAACACACGTTCGACTCGAAAATAAGTCGTTCGTTATCATCGGCAGATCCATCAAACGTCGAGGAGCTGCCACCATTCTTATCCCAGCGATTCCTAACTAATGAGCTGGTCGCACTTTGAGCTCGTGAACTCGCTCCAGAAGCGTAAGGCCTGCGTCGATTCATCATCTCATTTCTAGCTCCGATATTCCCAAAAAAGAAACCTTCAATGCTCAACTTCGCTTCTTCGCTTTTGATCGACTCTTTGTTCAAAACTTCACGGCCTCGATATTCGAAAGTTTGAACGCAAATGTGAACAACTTGGAAAAGTTTGACCAAATTTTGCTCCGAAAGTTCCGACCACCAGTTGAACAGAAGTTCAGGGTCCAGGTTTTTGAAAACCCACAAGAAAAGGGAAAGAATGTTCCGAGTTAGTTCCGGGGTTAGAACACTCGATGGTGCGTTAGACGAGCCAGAATTCATTTCGATACCGGCTATCTTGTTTTTCTTGCTTTCTAGCTCTGATGAAGCTTCCGCGCTTCTGAAGGCCGAGTCTAAAAATGGTTTTGGACCTTCGCAGAGAAGATCTTTATTTAGAATCACGATTTTGATCAACGGTAGAAACAAAGCAACAACTTTTGCTTTTATAAACGGCTGGTTATATCTTGTATCTTTGTCTATGAACTGGGCGATTTGGCTCAAAATTGAGACTATCAATTTTTGCCCCGTTTGCAAACCCGAAGGTAATAAGAGTTTAAACTCTTGCAGCAGAAGTCCCATTAGGAAATGATTTTGTTTGAAGTCTACCGATAAAGTATCGGCAATAACAGAATCGGCCGATAACGTGCTAGTCGACATTTGCGATACTGACGATAATGCCGATGCTCTAAATGATGGAATGTCAAACATATTAGCTGATTCGGAGTAAAATGGGAGATTTAGGATTACAAAATGCTCGTGGGTTGATACAACTCGTAGGAATTCAAGTTTGAGCGAAATTAACGTAGCAGGATCTCCCATGCCTCTTACTTGTGAATCGATGAAAGAATTCATTCTCATTATGTATGATTTGATATAGCTGAACACCCAAAATCGATTGCAAACTGAAAACAGATCTGACACGAAAAACGCTAAATAAAAGTTCAAATAATTCGCGTTTTTAACGTCTTTACTATCCTTGCAAAGCTGGTAAATGTATTCGGTTACATTTGATATGACTGATCCAATGTCACCGTTTAAGCAATCATCAAACGAATGCAATCTTGGTAACCCTAACTCTACGTTTTGCACGTTTTCGTTCGCCAAACTCTTGATCACAATTTCGAAGAAAAACCAAATTCTTTGCATCAACTTTGCTCGCTCGTTTTTCGCTGACATTATTTGAATCAAAAGTTCCGTATGCAAAGTTTTCCTGCTAAGGCCTGACATCATTTCTGGGGTTTGAAATTGTCCCGAATCAAAAACTTTTTCGCCTTTTGAGTCATACTGAAAATCGTTCACGTCTACATTTTTCTTCACATATGACAACAGAAGTTGAACTCGGTTGAACCCATCGATATACGTATTAATATTCGCCTTGTGTAAATTATCGACAATTTCCACTAACGCTTCAAAAGCATTATGGGCGAAATTCGAAGGCTCGCCGCATAATGTCTGTTTCCGAACAACCAACGATAGCAATTTATCAAGAGTAACGTGCAAAAAATGAATCAATGAACCCATTGAAACTTCTTTTTTCAGACATTCGATCGCATTGTTAAGTCCTGAACACATTTTGATTGCTTCATGTTTGCTTATAGACGAAACGGCCGCTTTGCCGAAAACAGCCGAGTAATGCTTCAGGAAGTTATCCAAAGGTGCGTCCATTGTATGGACAGAAGAATGGGCTTTTAAGCTAACTGAGAATAAATCTTTATGCCCATCTAGCCATTTGATAGTCGGCAATTGAACTCTTGGATGGACTCTATAGTAATCAGAGGGTAATCTTTCGCTCGAAACTGGTAGGCTAATATCCCCAACCACTAATCGTTTATTGTCGTCAAGTAACGGCAACCAGGTAGCTCCGACGAACGTTTCATTTTCGCCAATCTCTCGTTTATTCGAGTTACACGTTATGTGGTAGAATTCAAACAGCAGATGGTGCAATTGGCCTAACGTCGCAGGTAGTTGAATTTTGATTTCCTCGTAAAACTTCGGAACTTTCGAGTGATAATTCACATGGCAAAGCGCAACATCTTTCAAGGGCGAATCGGTAGAACGTCCGGAAATTCGGGTCAAAATTAGCGGTCCGTGCTGAGTACCTTGGGCTAATTTGACCTTCATCAAAATATTCCGGGCTGTTCCTGTTTTTGATGATAAATTCAGATGTTTAGGGTATACGAATATTAAATTTATATACTCCGAATAAGGTTTCGCCACGGGTGAAACAGGGAAACCTAAGATCATTTTGCAACTCGGAGCTTCGGCAGGTTGGCAATTTATAATTTGTAAGTCGGGTGTTAAATATTTGACAACGGGTAGATAAACTGGTCTAATATCAAGCGATAATTCGATGTCAATTGATTTGAATTTCTTTCCTCTGTCTTTTTTGAACTCCGACAAGCAAGTCGCGATGTCTTCATCTGAAAGTTTATCCAAATCTTGAATGAAAAACGATTTGAATCGCAAATCTAGAGGGTGGAAATTTGTCAGAAAGGTTGAAAAGTTCTCATCATTTTTCATAAATAGCGAGGCTCTTTGCATTATTTTACTTTTTGATGAGCCATTATTTGAACCGGATCCGTCGGTAATTCCTGGAATCTTATTGGACAACGAAGCTCCTGTTTTACGACTCAAACTAGAAGAAGACTGACTTCTATATGAGTCGGTTCCGGACATTTCCGAACTTGATTCATCATTCGGTAATGGCGGACTCGATAACGATTGATGGTATAACTCGCTAGTTTGGCTTTCGCTACTTTTTATCGCTGCTATTAAATTTGTCGCAGTCCAAGCAAACGGCATCCGATAAGCTCCTAGAGTTTCGCACCAAAACGAAGATTGTGTTTTCAGTTTTTCAAGGGCTTTCAGATTCTTTTCTACGTGCATGTATGGTTCGCAAGCTGATTGAATATCACCTGCTTGAAGAATCTTCTCAATTCTCACTACAATGTAGAGCTCGTCTGAAGGTTGAGACAAAGAAAAAATCGCTTCCTGGATTCTTGTTGTCACGTCTAAATCGTTAGTTCTGATATGATTCTTCAACTTCTGGAACATCCAGGGTTCCAGTCGGTCGAAATGAAAGGTCTCTGATAACTTATGTCTGTGTTTCAAGTCGTACAAAAACACAGAGAAGAATAAAGGTTCGAAGTTAAGTTTTGTATCGTGTTTTATGCACTTGACTGAGATGTGGGACACTGGTTGGTCTAAATCTGGTCGGAGGCTTCTGTCTATGGCTGGCGGGGCGACGTCAAGCATGAACAAACTCATCAGTTCCGGGAATCTTTTGAGCTGCCGAATTTCCCTGAAAACATAATTAAAAATTGTTTGAAATCAAAAAAAAAAACAAGAGGCCAAAAAGCAGAAAGGCGCTCTAAAACCGCCAAACAAAAACATAGCCAACATGCAGTTGGAATGGAGTCAATGAACGCAGGTAAACAGAAAAAAAAACTGACTTATTTTTTGAAAAAATCTCGAACTTCGATTTTCAGAGAGAAAAAAAAAGATGGCCATTGAATAAAGCTCTTTGAATTTCTAAAACAATTTATGATTGACACTTTTTTGATACAATAAAACCAAATCGAGCAAACTGGTTCAATAAGAAAATTTCTTTATTTTGCAAAGAAATCTAATAAATAAATTCAATTTTCGAAATTAGAAGTCGATCACGTTTTTCGTGACCATGACACCTTTGCTGTTAGAGAGTAGAGTTTGCTATCCTTTTAACAAAGGAATTGAACTGAACTTATAAAAAAATTAAAAGTCAAACCGCGAACGAGTAAATTTAAGCCTGAACGGTAATCTGAGCCTGAACGCTAAATTTGAGCCTGAACGGTAAGACTTTTCCTAAAAAACTTAAAACAAATCATCACGACCTATATAAGAGTCTGAACTACGTTCATCGACTCTTAAACGAAAGACGCAATAAAACAAAAAGCTCTGAAACTACAGAATTCTAACTAGAACTACCCGACCAAGAGCCACTTGCCTTACGACTTATACTTGGCTTCTTGGCGGATATAGCTGAACCATGACGCTTGATTATTTCACAAAGATGGCACCAAAATATGTGTCTTTGGTGCAATCAAAATGGGACGGATCTTATAAAACTACGCTAGCAATTTCGCTCGTAAAATGACACTACACTCATCACTGCTGGTGACAGTGCTGACATATATTATCCGGACAAAACGAATAAAATTTGAAACTCAAAACGCAGTTATATCAAATAGGGGTGAACTAAGAGAAAAATCGACTCGGCGAAAACTTGTATGGAAGTTAGGCTAAATTAAACTGGTGCAATTTTCAAATGTGAAATTTTGGTCAAAAATTTTACACATAGAGACGGATCATTTTTGAATTTGAAGTCAATGAGTAATTACGCAAAAACTACGGATTCAATTGCTATTAAAATAATCAAAGTGAACAGCTCATATAGTCGAACAAATTGAAGAAAGGTGTATTCTCTAAGAATTTGCATGAACGAATTCATTTTCGTTTGATAGACAGAAATTCCATTTTTAGTATTTCATATATCAATTCTTATTTAAAAACAAATTTTGATTATCTTAAACTTTGTCGGTCTTCATAAAAGGTTCACTTTAAACTATTTTTAGCAGTTGACTCCGTAGTTTTTGCGTAAAATTTGATTTACTGAATGCAGCCAATATAACTCTTTTGAAGAAAACTTTCGTGCGAATTTTGCGAAATAAATTGCTCCATAATAATTTTGATAAAATTCTAAGCAAATTTTGTACTGATCACCTTTTGTCGAATTTCAACCCAATTTGAGAAAAACGCAATGAATTTTCCAGCTTTCTTCTTTTTTTGCGGATAATTTAAATCAGCACTGTGCTTGCGGGTGATTAATTAAAAACTCAGGTGAAAGTGATTACTAAATTAAGGTAGTAATCCTATTGCTAAGCTAAACTATGAGGCATGACCAAATTATGGGCGCCTGAGAAGTGGTTTTTGATGAATTGAAAACTTTTAATTTGATTACCTTCTGCTCAAAAAAAGAACTTCTTCTTCAGACCAAAGTTTCATTTTTTTCGCTTTTAAGTAATATTTTAATTCAAGTTATTTCAGAAAAGGCTAGTTTTGCCATCAAAACTGTTTCGAAATTATTCTCATTTCCTCTACAAAAAGAACACGTTCAGATCAAAACTGAAATCTGTTCTTTTTGAAGTCAAATTTTTTCTCATTTCTCTTTTTTTCTTCTAAATTTTGATGTTTTGCCATTAAATATGAAGTTTTGCCATAAGAACAGATCTAAAAATTCTCTCATTTTCTCAGCAGTTCGAATAAAAACATACCTGCAACTATTCACGGTTTCTGTTACATCCTCCTTGATCAACTTCATCAACTGCTCAATCTGATTAATTTCTCCCCCCGCCTCCGACATCTGAGACTGGAGGAAGAGACTACTAGTGGGTCTAGTCAGGGTATCCTCGCCTGCCTTCTCCTCGTAGGGAAGCATCGAGAGCATTCTCAGAACTAAATCGAACAGTTTGTCATTATTATATTTTCGAGTAGACTCTCTCGATAGGTGCATGCGTATTGTACCTTTAATCTATCCACTTCATTCTGGTATTTTGTACAATTAATCTGAATTTCACTTTAAAAAATGTTTAAATTTTACTGTTGTATCTGTTCTGTTATGATACGATTATGGATAAATAAATTCTTTCTTTCTTTTTAAATTGAATGGTGAGTTTAGAGATTGACATAAGAACTCAACAATTTCCATTCCTATTGCTGAAGGAAGAAAATCATAACCAGGCTGAATAATCGAGGAATTAATAACACAAAAGACAACATTACCAAAAAATAAAATGTTGCTCAACTATGGCGAAAATAATCCATTTTCGCTCTGTTGAAAACTTTTTCAGCTTTTCATTTTCGGCACCGTTGAACGCCCCCTAATAATCGTATATACTCAAAATTAGTTGACATAATTCGTTAAAAGGGCGGACATTCGTTGCTAGCTATCATAGGGGGGACAATTAGGTCCAAAAAAGTGTTAGAAAAACTACATGAAATAAAAGCTTGAAAATAAAAGATAAATCTGGTCTATTCTCCTCAAAAAAAAACTTCAAAAAAGCATCCACGAAAGCTTCTTCATCACTTGTAAATGTAACTTTAACTCAATTTCTTGAGCAAAAAAAAAGCTAGAATGTATTTTCTGATCTGACTGGTAGAATTAATTAGAAACATGACCTAATGAACCCAACTCACAAAAAACAGACCTTTGTGGAGGTGTATATTTGGGTTGAAAAACTGGGGACTGTAGGCTGCGTATGCTCTGTGTATTATGGCGAGTCTCTTCTTGTACTGATGCAGACAGTCAGCTACCTGTTGATTGACCTAAACAATGATGGATGATAGATAGACATTTCAAAAAATAATCTAAAAAATTTTCCCTTCAGATGGCCAAAATTTTTTTTTGATTCTCTAATGAAAACCATAAAAATCTCAACACGTAAAAAAAACCTAAAAATGTTCCTTTGAGATGGTCAAAAACTTGGATTTAAATTAAGATAATTTTGAATTATGAAGAATTTAATTATGATTAATTGGGATTTAAATTATGATAATTTCGCCATATGAAAAAGTTGTGTTATTTGTTAACTTCAAACCCCTCTTTGTCTCAATTTATCAGAAAACTATCAGAAACTTCAGTATACAATGTAAATTCTTAATTCTAAGGATATTTTCAAATGGGGCTCGATTTTATCATCATAGTTCCTCGTAAAAATCATCATCCTCACATGTCATAAATTCTCAGCATTTTTTACCTCTTGGAATTCGGATGGTGTCGAGTCCTCTATCAAACTGCTCGTTCGCTGGTTCTGCTGCACTTTTTGATATTCGACCTGGAATTCAAACCGATCATCGAAATTGTGAAAATCAGAAAGTGTGACACTTCTTGTTTTGATGTTCAAATTTTATGGGTGACATTAAAATTTGTCATGCAAAAAGTTTATTCAACCGTATTAACATCAATCCACAAATTATGTGGGGACTGATTTTGGAGGAAAAAATCAAATAAAACTCATCGTCCAGAAAATGCGACCAAAAAAATTAGCCGAAATAAACTGAAACTTAATCAATCAAATTAATTTAAACGAAAATGAATATCAAAATGATAATGATCACTTTTTTAGCTGCTCCTCTTGGAATGTTCTCTCAATCGACTTTCTTTTATTTACATCCAATCGACATATACTATCCAATTTTTCAACGGAATGGTGTTGAGGCAATGATTTGAGTTGTTTTGTCAAATACGGGTGCTTTTATCATATCAGAACAAGGATATCCGGTTGCTGTGCAACAGAATGTTCCGACCATATTCTTAAAAATATACACACGTTTTTTTCCTCAAATTATTGACGTTTTTTGTGAGTTGCGTGATAAAAGGATCTGAAGAAAGTCTATTAGTTAGGCGAAACCGACGGTCACATAAAAGTAGGCAAATTGGGCAATAGATCTGGTCAAAAAATGGCAAGAAAAACAAAAAAAAAACAAAATTTTAAACCAGTTTTTCTCGACACTGACAATTTTTTAAAGTCGATCTTTCACGACTTAAAGTGCTTTTTTATGATGTCACTCCAGCCATTCCGTTAATTAATACGCAAATTTTTGAATTTGGAGAAAAAAATTAATTAATTCTATTCAATAGCTTCAACTAACCTGAAGGTCATTGTCTGGATAATCTGCTATCTCAGTCGGACATTGAACCACTAGCACCTCAAAGTCAGAGGGGTCAATGACCCCTTCAGTCAAAGGGTACTGAGGGTGCATTTGGGCTCTAATGCAGATACACAGTGATGATCATTAATGTCTTTTCATAAATAGATAAGAAATATTAAACGAAAAACATTTTCATCAAATATTAAATATATAGATTAACACATTACAGTCATTCTGTTAAAAAAAACTATTGGTTTTAATAATCAGGAAATCACCTAAGGTACATTTCTTATTTGGATACCAGTATAAGCACGAAACGCGAAAGATTTCACGCTTTGAACTGATACTATTTGTTTCGTGTCTTCGCCTACAAAGCTATTGGCTCAAGCATCTTTCAAACAATATGGAGTGCCAATAAAATTGTCAGTTTCAGCATGAAATTAAAAAGAGAAGCGAAGCGGAGATTTGCACCACTTGTGATACATAAAAAAGCAGCATGTCAAAAATTAGACAGCAGTCGCCAAATTGGAAGAAAAAAAACGAAAAATATTTAAACAAAGGTTTACAAAGGATTTGTTGAGTTCTTTCATAGGTGTGTTTCGAATCAAGTTAGGTTCGAGGAAACACATGCGAAACAATACGATTCCCAGCAATAAGTTGGCAAAATAATCATGAATCAATATCACATGGCCCAGATCGCTGTTTCACAGTTTTATCGCTATTCAAACGACGCATTACGATGCGACTAAGCAGATATTAAATTATTCGATACATTTTAGCCGAATAAATATTTTATCAAACAAAAAAATCAAAGGAAATATAAGAAAAATCAACGCAACAAATCAGTGGTCTATTTACCCAAATGCCTTTAGCTTTCGAGAAGTTTTATCCTTCTTAGTCCATCAATTTTAGACTCTTTTTAGTCCATCAAGAATTACGCTAAGACTACCGAGTCAATTTTTGGCGAAGCTATATCAAAGTTTGAAGAAACTTTCGTAGACCAAAAAAGTTTGAAGAAAGTGAACAAACTGTATAAATTTCACACAGAGGCGAATCAGAGCTTCGTTCCACTTGCTATACAAAAACTGAACAAAAAATTCTCAAAAACAATAAAACTAAAAAACAGAATCTTTAAACTGAATTACCTATCAGACGCAAATCGAAACAGTGTACTGCTTGCGATATAACACAAGCATAGAATGACAAGCTAATCGAATGAAATAGAGATGAAAACAAAAACCCATTCTTACATTTTGTCGTGTATTCCTTTCAAAATCAGACATGGTAAAATGACAAATTACAAAACTTTCAATTTAAAATATTCTAAAATCAAAATAAAATCCATGCTTCCTTAAAAGAGCCGATAAGAAATAAAACCAGTTAAATAAATGCCATTTTAGAAAAAAAACGTACGGACGAAAACTAGGACGAAAACCGCGAAGCCGAAAGAAAATCAACACTTTTTCAAGTAATTTATTATGATTTTTTAATTTTTTTTATTTTTTATTTTTTAAATCTATCTACTACCTAAATGATCATGTCTTGAAATTTACCATTACTACAATACAGACCATTCCATGAACAAAGTTATTTACGGAAAAAAATTGCAGGGGTACTAAAAATTGTATAGAAATCATATTGTATAGAAAATCCAACTGCAAAAATTGTATACAAATTGTATAAACTATATAAAACACCTTTTTTTATTTAAAAACTATTTTTCTAACGTTTTGCGCATTTTTTTTGATATTTAACTTTTCTTAACCCTAGTTAGGCAATGTAAAACGCTCACTTTGATATAATTTTGTCAGTAATTGCCTCAAAAGCTGGAGTCTGATTGGCTGAATGCTGTTCTTAGAATTAAGTTAACAATCTGCCCCCACCCCCCTATCTGCTTTTAGCTTGAGAAAGTTAGCTTGGTCCAAAAAATCTATACTAAGCTAAAAACCGAGTCCACATTAAACTTTGACATGAGCAAAGATGAAACGCTAAGTTTTTTTTTTAAATGATCATCACTGTGACATCGGTTGTTCGACTGGCTTGGGAAAGAACATCTGTTGCCCCCCTCCCAGTCCCACCCCTGATCCAGATGGTGTGAGGGGTGACAGTAATTGAGGTCTGTTTAGATGTCCACTGTTGTAGGAGCCACTTCCTGCATTACTCCCTCCTGCTCCCCTAAAAAACACATCCTCGATAAAAGTTATAATATTATAAAATTTATTTACTTGGTGCCATCATCCAGGAATTCATATTTTATTTTTGTATTTATATTTAGAAACCGATACCAAAAACTAATACGATTTTATCCGATTATAGATAACTTTTTTCCATTTCGATGCAAAAGATCAGCATACTAAATCCTTAAACACGCATAGCAAATGCTCTATCTTAAATTGGATATTATTTTGCAATTAAGTTAAATTGATATCAATGACTAATAATTGTTCCGAACACTTCACGAAGTTTTCAATAATTCACAAATTTAAAAAGATGAGCGTGGTCGGAACATACTACGCTCATTGCACAGCGCCTAACTACTTGGTGTTTGCCATGTAAAGTTAATTTAGTTAAGAATGCATACCTTGAAGACGAACTTCTGAAACTTCCCTTCTGTGACGCATATGGATCAGCTATAGCTTGAAACACATTATCCATATCACTATATGTACTCGATGAATTCACAGAAGCCACGGATGTTGACCTCATTTGACCTTGAGGCATATCGACTGATGACCTTTGACTTAGAGGTCGGTGTGGGTTGCTGTTGTTAGATGAAGAACTGCTGGGTTGTTGGTATTCCATCATTTTGCGGGCAAACGCCCGCGACTTGCCTGCCGACATATTACATCTGCAAAAAGAAACATACATTTTGAATGAAACTTGTCAACTTTTCTGATTTTGACCGAAACATGACTTAATACTGGCAGACAATTTCATTGACTCAAACTAAACCGCCGCTCGTGAAAAGGGTTGCTGCTCCCGTCTAAAAAAAATGATTTTCCAATCTACATACTCGATATGGAGACAAGCCACAACAGAAATTGAACTAAAAAACAAAATCAAGCAGCATTCTTTATTCTATAAAAACCTCCAATGATTCAAAAAGGTTATAGAAAAAATTTAGCCCAGGCCCAAAAATTCATTCGAAACAACGAAAAAATTCGTTTATTATTGCAATTTTTAATAACGCTGATCAACCATATCACTCAAAAAGCGCATGGAGATCACGAAATTTCCCCCCAGTCGCTTCGTTAATCACTCCGCCAAGCTCTACTCGAAAAAAACGGCAGCAGTAAAAGCGCTTTCACTCAGCTGATAAATCTTGGAAAACGAAATCTTGGAAAACACTCAATAGAAAAACAGAAAAAACTGAACAAGTTTGGCTGGAAAAAATACCCGTGATATAAAAATCATAGCTAATGTAATCGAAAATTATAGCTTTTCAAAAAACCCAGAATTGAATCATTTGGCTCTTAAATTTCGTGTGCGTCTCAAAAAATGAAATTTCCAGATAAAATTTCAGATTTAAGGCAATAAGTTAATCGAAGAGAAAACCTGAAAACTCATTTCCTGAAGTGCAGTCCAGCAATGAACATCGGGCAAACGCCGGTCAAAAATTTCTAATTCAGCAAACAAATATGCTCGATTTAAGCAAAATTATTAGTTTTTTGGGCGTGCTTTGGTGTGAGAACTGGTCTAAAGCCTAGAACGTGGGTGATTTAAAAATAATTTATAACATTTGTCTTCGAAAAATGAACACAAAAGTATGAAAGTCTAATTTTCAAAAAGAACAATTATTTTGATTAACAAAATTTATCGCCGAGGACTCACTAAAAGAGGAGTCCAACACCTGTGTTCCGGAGTCAGACTACTCAGTTGAACCTGTTTTCTAGAGTTTTTCACTACTCAGTTGAAAACTTTTATAGTCTTTATAGTAATATAAAAACTTTGTAAGGCCTACTCGCTCACTTTACTCACTCGAACATGAACAAAACGGAAAAATTTTAAACCAGTTTTTCTCGACAGTGGGACAACTTTTTTGATGTAGTTCTAGTTACAACTGAAGGCGCTTTAGTATGATATATCACTCGACTTATTACTAAAGCTCGCTTTAGTATGATATATCACTCGACTCGATTGTGCGTGAAAAACAAAAAACACAAAAATGAAAAGACACCCGAATACCAAGTTCCTCCTCATTATCAGTAAGTAGTCGCAACAATAATAGAATAGCACAAAATAGTACAATCACACTCATGAAAAAAAAAGTTTTTCAAATTGTTCTGCTTTTTTTGCGAGTGGTGTGATTAGGGGAAAGGCGAAAGCTTACAACTTGCCTTAGCAAATGAATTTGAGAAGAACTTAAAAAAAACTGAGGTCACAACCCAAAATAATCAAAAACAAAATTCAAAAAAACAAAAAAATAATCAAATTTGACGTAAAAAAGTTTCAAGACTTTTCTAAAACAATTAAAGAACAAAAATCAGCACGACCTAAAAAAAGTGTCATTAAAAAAATTATTGACTAAAAAAACGTGTTTTCCTGGAGTAAAAGTAAGTTATGTCTTTACTTCATGTTTATACCTTCATGACTTTACTCACTCGAAATTAGAGTAAAAAGCAAAATTTTCAAACCAATTTGTCGGCACTGAACTTTTTTGATGTCGTTCAAATGACATGATATATCAATCAATAGGACAGATGACTATTTGTGGTTTCGTTTTGGATGGAAAAAAAACTTATAAAAAAACACAATCGAAGACAAAGTTCCTCTGCACCTTCACTAAAAACAGAATAATAAATGTTTTCATGTTCCGCGCCTCTTTATAAAATTACACAGAGGCAAAGCGAGGATTTGCACCACTTGCAAAACAAAAAAACAAACATTGCAAGCTGTCACGCAGGAAAAAAGAAGAGAGCTACTCCAAAAAATTCCGAAAAGATGAAAAAATTTCAACTTAAAAAATTTGAATTGTTGTCTGCAATGGTGTCCTTCTGCAGAAAATACGACCAGAAATACAATCGACGGCGTCAACTTTCGACGAAGAAAAACTATTGATGGCGAAATACAATCGAAATTTAACATTTTACTGTGCGATCCAGAGGAGACCATAAAACTTATCTTTCCCTTGAAATGACCAAAAATCAAGTCTCTAAGCCGATAAAACAAAAACCGAAATCATTTGGGTCGAATAAATATTTAAAACGAAAAAAAACAAAGGAAAATATTCGAAGTCAAGATAAGTTAAATTACAAACCGTAGAAGTAAATCAAAACACTAAAAGCAGGTTAACTAAAATCGTGTACAGCAATAAATAATAATTCTAAAAAACTGAGCCGGCAAAACACAAGAAAAGACAAGTACTAGGCCGACAATTCTTTTCGAAAAGAAAATATTTCCCGTTTGAAAAAAATCCTAGTCAGATTCCAAATCAGGACCTTTGTCGACCTAGGGGCGTATTTGTTACCTCCAGACTAAGAGCGCCGAAGACGATAAGAAATTTGAATCAAGATAACAGGGGATTCTGTTAAGCAAGTTGTTAATCCGAAAGAAAAAAACTAATATTCCGTCGCAAGCGTAAAAATATTCGGTCAAAATTAGTTTATTTACAACTTAGTTCAATTTTAACACATATGAAAACTCAATTCGCATTACAGTGAATACCGCCGTTTCGTTTCTACAAAATCAATATGCGACTAAAAATTTGGCAGTTTAGATAAATGCTCTAACAGCATTACGGACAAAAATATAGAAAATATTGACACTGGGTAGAAAATGCGCTGAGCAAGAAAGGGCAAAAAATGTCAAAAAAGAACTCAAAATGCAATAAAAAACAAAGATGGACAAAAAATAAGCTTTAAAAGAACTACGCTCCAATGGGATTCAAAATAGACAGCTCTAGAATTCAAGTCAATTGCCTTCAATACTGCACCAAAATGCCCTGCTGCAGAATTCTGGGTGACCGCTCGACTAGCATGAAGCTTGACTAGCATAAAAGTTTGAAAACACAATGTTTCGACTAGCATAATTTAAAAGCATTATTTTTCAGAAATACAAAACAATAATAATGCGCTCAAATTGTAAGATGCATTTCTGGAAAAATGAAAATCGAGCATTTGAGAAATTAAGAAAGCAAATTAAATTCCTATTGTCGTGATCATTAGTTACAACACGACCAGTAATGGCTTGAACCGAAGACTGATCGCCGCGCAAATTGTGAAATGTGTGAAAAAATTGATTGGATCTTGTTGACCCCCCCCCCACCCCCCTATTGCAACAGGGGGCCAATTCGTTACAAAGTACAAACTTTACCGGATCTAACAATCTCCCCCCTTTCAAGAAGGGGGAGGAGATTGTTAAGTAGATCCAAAAATTAGCGTATGCTTACCTGCTGTATTTTTTATAGGGTGCCGGAACTTCCCTCCCATATGTATGTATTATTTTTGACAATTATTGCTGTAAAAAAACATGCATTTCAAAAATGTCAAAAACTGATTGGGTTTTCATTTTCGCACGATCTTATTTGCATTACTAACTATTTATATAATACTTATGTAATACCTACATAAAAAATTTCAAATATATTTTCTGAAATTGTTTTAAGCTACTGAAAATGTGGCAACCAAAGTTGAATTTCTGAAAATCGAAATAGGGGGGGGGGGGAGGTGGTCATATATTGTGTGTAATGATTTCAATTTTGTATTTCGTTTATTATGCTAGTCGATATTATTTTCAATTTTGAAATTTTTATGCTAGTCGAGCTTTATGCTAAACGATACACCGCCAGATTTCAGTATACCAACGAGCAATGACTGCCTTTTATGGAATCGGGTAAAATAAGTGCTATTAAATTGCCAAATATGATTTTAGCAGAAGAGATTGACTCAAAAGTTGAGTCAATCAGATTTAAAACATTTTAAAAAAGCTTCAAGAATAATGTTAATTAATTAATGCCAGAAAACAATCAAGGAACATTATAAAATCAAGGTATTTTATCTTTCGGTTCAGTTTTGACTTTCTTTTGAGGCAGATTTTTCGGCCTGTTTTTAAAGCCCGAACTCTTTGCCGTTTTCTTTTTGGAACTTCTACTCAAAGCAACAATTTCTTCATTTTTCTTCGGATTGTAAAAATTAACGTTTCTCAACTCGTCCAAAGACGGCAATGTAAACATCAACTTAGGCTGTTGAATCTTCGCTTTAATTTTAGCTTCTAAGTCTTCCCCTATTTTTGAATCATCAATTTTACCATTTTCACTAGTATTGTTTGATGTGTCAAAACCAAAACTAAAACCAGAAGCTTTTGCTTCGGTCAAAACCGATTTCAACTTTTCGGTTCTTTCGATGTCAGAAATTTCATTCATTTTTTCCTGTCCATTTTCTAATTTTTCTTTATCGTCAATTTTTTTCTCGGAATCTGATTCATAATCTAACTCGTAGCATTTATGTTCTGGGTTAGTCGGATCGTAATAGATAATCGGTTTATACGGTTTCGTTGAATATACTTTAGGTCCGTTATTATAACCTCTCTTTTCTCTGAAATCTTGCGAGTATTTATTCGATTCGTTTTCGTAATTGTCGTCATAACTTCTTTTGTATGAATCATTGTTATAGTTTGAATTTTCATAAGAATTGAAATCATTGTGTTCAGATTTGAACCCTCGATTTCCGTTTTCAGATTTTTCAACCCAACCCCAACGTTTTTCGTGCTTCGATTGATCATTTCTATTTCTATCATAATCGGAAGAACCTTCACTTTTATGCTCGCTGAAACTATTTTTGCTAGTCAAATAATTTGGTATCGTTTCAACATGTTTCACGTTTATTTTCGAGCCAGCTTTAGCTGTTAACTCCTTGCACAAAAAGGCACAGAATCGTTTCAAACCAGCACCTGCAGATACAGGTGAAAGAACGAACGCTTTCAGTTTTTCTCCCGAGTTGTCGAAATAAACTTTTTTGGCTTCGTTTCCAGTTTCTGAGAACAATTGTTTGACTGATTCTTGGGTCGATTTTTCCTCTAACCCCGTCAAAGCCAAGTAAACACAGTTCGAGAGATCCTGAAATATAACAGAGATACTAAACACGAAGGCGAGGCAGAGCTTCGCCCACTTGCGATACAACAAAAACATCGGATGACAAACTAGCAGACAAAAAATTAGACGAAAACCGCTAAGTCTAAAACAAAATTTTTTAAGTTGGGAAAGCTAGATCTACCAACAATTTTTTTTGCCATTGACTTGAATAAACTTCCATACTTAAACAAAAACCCAAAGAAAAATATTGAAAGTTACATTTGCATAGAAGCAGAATGAAAAAAAGCCGATAACTTCCAGCAAACACTCGTTGAGCCAAAATATTGCTTTCACACAGAGGCGAAGCTGATCTGTGTACAACTTTAAGAGATACAACTATAACAGATACAACTAAGCACAAGTAAGCGATACAACAATACGATTAAAACAGTATGATTCTGAAGAAGTAGCAAAGAAGACTTTGAGCGGAGAAAAAATTGAAAACGGATCTGAACTAAAGCATAAAACTTTAAAATATTCGACTTTCATAGTAAAAATGGTAAAATGGACAAATTTTTGTCAAAAAATACATGAAAAAAATCATAAGATCGGAATTTTGAAGTTTTTGTTTCTAAGAAAACGGTAAAAAGCCATCAAAAAATTTTTAATGGAATAAAACAAAACTTTCAGGGTTTGAATAAAAGTTTCACGGCTTATCTTTCTATAATAAGCTTATGCGCGCTCGCATTACTTGATCGAAATTGAGCTAAAACCAATTTTTAACTATTTTTTTTGTGTTGTTGGAATCACGACTTGAAGGGCTTTAATAGGATATCACTTAACTCAGTCCGATGATTTTTGTGTGATACCTGATTTTGATAGGGAAAACAAAAAACTAAAACACATCCGAATATGCGGTTGCTCCCACTTTCAATGGTCAAAACAATGAATACTGAATTAAGTACGAGATAAAAAAACTTAACAATTAGCACGTTTTGTGACCTACTTTTCAAAGAAACTCGCCCTCTTAATATATTTTTGGATAAATTTTAATTTTTTTATACCAATTAAGCATTTTACGAAGTTTTCAATTGTAATGGTTTTCCTGTTATAAGGATTAACTGGTTTTTCAAAGCATGAAAACAATTTTCAACACAGGCGAAGCCGAGCTTCGCACCACATGCGATACACAAAACAGCCGCTAATTCAAAAAAACATCGAAAAAAAAAATTGAAAAATGCTGAAATCGGTCAAAATGAGTAAAATCTGTTTAAGAAAAAACACCAATACAATAGAAGTTGAAATTAGCATCAGAAGAAAACTAACCAAGCTTTAAACAAGCCGAAAATACCTGAACAGAAACTCTTTAAACCAAAAACATTTCAATTAAAAGACTAATTGAAAGATGATAAAGCCGATTCCACCTCAATACACACCAGCACACAAAAGTATTTTCGCTCATCAAATGACGCAGTATGAGGCCAATAAGCCGATATAAAATAGACCCAAACTTATTAAACGGAGATAAAAAAAGAACAAAAAATGAAACTTTAACAAAGACTAAAACTAATTAAAAAGTTGATAAAGCCCCATCCCCTTCAACACACACACCCACACAAAAACACTTTTCGCTCATCAAACGACGCAATATGAGGCCCATAAACCGATATAATTTAGGCCAAATTTGACTTAACCTAGAAAAAAAGATAAAAATTGAAATTTAAAAAGAAAACAAATTTGTGAAATTTTACAAACTAATTAAAAAGTTTTTCAAGTCCCATCACCTTCAATACACATAGTCACGTTGAAACTTTTCCCTCCTTAAACGACTCCATTTCAGGGAACTAAGCCGATATACTATAGGCCGAAACTTATTAAACCGAATAAAAAAAGGAAAAAATTAGTTGGTAAAATTACTACCAATCTACTATACACTAGCTTCGCAACACTTCCAATGCAAAAAAAAATCTGAAATGAAGTTGAAAAATTTACTTGAAAAGTTGAAAAAACTACAGCTAAAAAACTTCGTGGTTGTATAGAAAGACATTCAAAAACAGCCAATAAAAAATTGAAAATCAATTACCAAGCGTCAACAAATTTTATGTCGAAACCTGTTATCATAAACAAAACTGTTATCAGAAAAACTTTCTTACGTTTTAAAAAAAATTACGACACATATAATTTGAAACACATAATGGCATGCGACTATATTTGCCCTGGAAGTTGACTGAGCCGCCACAACATAAACTAAAACTGTTTAAATATTTAAAGAAATGAAGAAAAGCCAAAAACAGACTTGGTAAATTTATAAATTACCGAACTTTCAGTTGTAGTAAAAACTGTTTGAATAGAGACAAAACACATGCTATAGAAATTAAGCCAATAAAAACCCTATCAGTTAAAAAGAATGGTGTTTAAAAAAAAACAGAAAATGAACCGACAAACTAGGACGAAAAACACGAACCAGAAAAATGCCAACTTTTTGAGAAAATAATTAGAACCTGAAACGGGTTTCACCTTATTACTACTTAATCTATAGTAGTTTTATTTGGAGTTTCAAGAAATTAGTGTCGGAGGATAAAGGAGTCCAGGAGCCATGAAATGAGTCTTGTGAACAAAGTTGTTTATGGGAAAAAAACCTAGTAGCCGATTGCAATACCCTTGCTTATCGCATGGGTAATTATATCAAAAGGAAGTCAACGATCGCCTTTTGTTTTGAAAATTCTAACGAGGGCGGAGATACAGGTGGAAAACAGGTGGAAAGAGTTGTTTTTGGGCACTATTTTGAAAATTTTGACCAAAAAATAGTTTTTTTTTCGGCGTGCGCTCCCCTTCAAAATTAGTATATATTGGTTCCGAAGGCGCCTTAAAATTTTTTTAGGGTTGGTCGGCCTAAAGAGGATGTTATAAAAATTACTTAAGGGGGGACCTTTGGTTGGTGAGGGGGGTGAATCCCTGAGGGAGGGGGCGTCCTTGCCCCTCCGAACCCCCTCCCCCTAAATTCACCTCGGGCTGAAACCCATTTTTTAGCTATATGGAAACCTTTCAAGAGAACTCATTCTCTATAACTGAAATGAACTTATCTCAAATGTCTTATATTTCAAAGCAAATTAAAAAAGACCAACTTCTTCTTCCTTTTTAGGAGCAATTAGCTCATCTGCTTTTGTTTCCGTTTCTTCACTTTGATCCAATTTGTCTTTTTTGTTCACCGTTCGCTCTTCAAAATCAGTGTCAAATTCGCGGATATCTTTAGATTTCAACTTCCTTTTGCGGTCATTATTTTCATCCAAATTCGATACAGTTTCTTTGCTTTCTTCGTCTTCAATAACATTTGAACCTGTATTTTTACAGATCTCGGCAACAGAAACAGGAATTAATGCAATTGGTTTTACTGAATTTAGATTCGTTTTTCTGCTGAAATCACTCTTGTGGATAATGGCACAAATCTTTTTAATCGCAGTTTTCGTCTTCACATTCAGATAACATTTAGCGTAATTATATTCCGTTGTACTTACGAACCCGTCGCGACGCTTGTCAATAAAAATATCGGTGACATTTAGATCTAGAGGTTCAATAAGTTCTTTACGTATTTGTTTTTCCCCGATTGTCAGTGGTAGCCCTGCAATGCATACGGGTATAATTTCCTCAACAACCATTTTTGACCTGAAATTCAAAGCGTCATATTTAAGACAATATCATCTTCTTTAATCATTTAAATTAACGCTTTTAAATCAGAAGTCTTTTCTTCACCAAATGACGTTCTGATTTTGTCTGTTGCGTCATGTTCAAAGCTGTCTCGTGCTTACCACTTAAAAAATCTTTATTGACGGAATGAAGACAACAACAACCAAATCCCATAATTGGAAGACTGATTCGCAAGAGTAAGAACCATCAAGTGGAACTACTTACTATTTTCGTCAATTTGAGTGCAAGTTCATTTGAATTCTTAAGACTTTACAAAACGGTACCTACCTCAATTCGATCGTTTGAAAAAAAATAGAGTTACTTAAAAAATTGAACTTTACTCAAGAAGCTTTTTGGTTCAGGAAAAAAATAGATTTACTCTCTTCTGACGTTTAGGCATTTCACCTTATAGAATTAACGGATTATCCACAAAATCCGATTAATTAAACAGTTCTATCAAAGCTTTTGAGTTAAATTTGGAAAAGATATTGATTGTTTGATTTATGCCAAGATAAATCGAAGCTAACTTGAACTTACGATCAACAGAAATCTCCGTCAAATTTCTTCTGCTAAAGTCACTCGTGCTTCGCTTGACTTCTCCATAGTTACGTAATAGTTGAAACGTCGTGGTGCTCAAATTACGTAATATTACAATCTTCGTAGAATTATCATAATTCGAGTTTAAACCACGAGCAAAATAAATATTTTAGACTCTTACTCTCTAGAGTACGTTATTTCACGATCAAACTTGGACAAGCCTTGTCATTTTAACGGCTTAGTTCCAATATTTCATTTTTCAAAAGATCCCTTTAATTTCGAGTTTGACATTTTTAAGTCTTCAAAATGTCACTGCTTTTGAAAAGCGTCGCAGAAAATTCTCCCGTTTCCAAACTTGATGTTATTTCTTTAGTTTGCGTAGGCGGAAATTTTTACCACGATTTCGGGAGCCCAAAACGGGCTTTGCAGGGTCATTGCATCTGTTGTTCACAGAAAATTCACCCCTTGAACTTGAACTTCCAATGCAAGCAGTGTGGCGTGAAATTACATCGATACTGCGAGTTATACCGTCAAAGCATCACCGCAGTTTACCACAAAGACACTGACTTTTTAGCCAAAATTAACCCTTCAGCAAAACAATACTTTGTATTGCAGAACCTTACTTGTAAAGGCGACACTTTAAACCATCAGTGGAGCAAAGTTTGGATCAAGCAAGACCATTTATGTATCGTATGCAATCAGCCCAAACCTTATTTAACATGCACCAATTGCGATTTGAGCGTTCATGGGGGATTTTGTATCCAAAAACTGACCACAGAAGTTCAAAAAATACCTCAGATTCTGAGCAGAGGAAGTGTCTTTTCGGTGCAGGAAATAAATACAAGTAACCTGGAGTTAAAACATCATTTCATCAGAACTGTGGATGCGTACTTGGCTGCTAGATCGGAGCTGGTCAACATTTCAGAGGAACTTTTGTAAGTCGCTTTCTCATTTCTTTTCGGTATTTTTAAACTTGAATGGCTTAAGTTTAAACACAGGACCCTGCCTGCTACTTTGGTTTAAAAATTTGCAACTTAAGTTGTCACAAATTTACACTTTTAACACTTTGCACTTAATGGCAGCTACGGGAAATATATCAGTACTGCAGGGAATATTTGAAATTCGACAGAAAAAAAAATATCTGAAAAAGTGTAAGGAACCTTTTCATCTCTACAAAAATATTACAGGTTGGCCTGTTATACTGATATTGAAAGAGGTCAAACCTTTTAAAGACAGGTCAACCTTAATCAACAAAACAATTAACACGTACACAATAAAATTTGACATCAGTCAACAATATTCAATGTTTTTCGTAATATGAAAATGAACATTAGGCAACAATACTCAATGTTTTTTGTAGCATAAAAATGAACATTAGACAGCAATATTCAATGTAATTTTTTGACATATTATGCTTTTCTTCGAAGCATTATGTTACTTTTTATATATGTTTTTTTTTAGGAAAGACTGTTCCCCCCAAGCTTCCATTTGGCCTGGAATGCCCCACGGAGATGTGAAGGACAACAACAACACTAACACTCACTCTCAATCGAACATCAACCACAACAACAACACCCCCAAACATAACATGGACAGCTACTTGCAGATACTCTACCCGTTTGGGGGAGTCACTTGTCTCAAAGACTTCATCGGACTATCAGGTAAGCAAAAAAAAACAAAAATTGCGAAATTATGAAGTTCGAATTCTGCACAAACTTGAGCTTACAGCACAGATGTTTTTTTGGCTTTTTTCCACACCCCCCCCCCCCATTTTAGTTTCGAGAAACCATTTCATTATTGTTATAAGACAATGAAACTTGGCATGGTGAACAAATTAACAATTGTGAACATATTTATTATTCATACCTCACAACGTAATATCACGCGTTTAGCAATAATCGCATGAAAAGCAACTATAAAAATAGAACATTTAAAAGGTGGGGGGAGAGAATTTTTTTGCAATGATTTGCTAAAGTCAACTAAAAACTTTCGATTTACCAAATACTAAACTCTAATTAAGGTATGAAATCAAACATATCAACCCATGATTTGTCCAGGTCATCATCTTACGAATGAATTTGGAGCAGTCACCTAAACCTTTATTTTTGCTAAAATTTGCCAAACACGAAATTATAACTAAGGTATGAAATCAAACATCAACCCATTATTTTTCCAGGAGCGTTTGGAGCAGTCACCTAAACCTATATTTTTGCTAATATTTGCCAAACACGAAATTATAACTAAGGTATGAAATCAAACATCAACCCATTATTTTTCCAGGAGCGTTTGGAGCAGTCACCTAAACCTTTTTTTTGCTAATATTTGCCAAACACGAAATTATAACTAAGGTATGAAATCAAACATCTATCTATTATTTTTCCAGGTGCTTTCGGAGCAGTGCCTGGCTGTGGCATTGTGGGATCCATAGTGTCCTCTGACACTGAGAAGCTGCAGTTATTACATGTGGCACCAGACGTGGCCATAGAGAGGGCGGAGAGAGAGGCGAGGGAACACGAGGAGAACCCATGCACGAAGGATTGGTGAGATACTTTTGCATGTCTTTAACTACCCCCCCCCCATTCATTGGCATATGGATAGGGGGAATATTCGTTATTAGGTACAAAACTCAAGAGTGAACAAACCAACCGAAGTATAAACCAACCGAAAACGCGCACAGTATATCAGCCAGCCGAAAAGATACATCATACGAATGAAAGTTAATATAACACTTAAGATATTATCAGCTGGTTTATACTTCGGCTGGTTTATATACCACGCAAAATTCATACACGCTGAACTCTTGAAATAGTTCTTCATAGGGAGTGGCAATTCACTACTAGGTACTATGGGGGGATATTTGAAGAGAACCCTGTTTTTAACAAACTTTTATTTCTCCCATTTAGACAAAATATTTTTTACCACTCTGCCCGACTCGATTTTTTCTGGCACCCCACACAACCTGCCACCTTTACGATTGCCGCGAAAATCTGCGAGCCTATCATTGAGATGTTGAAAAAAGAAACATTTTTTTTTTGATATTTTTATGCCCCTATGCTACTTGACTAAGACTAAGATACAATTTCCATGACTAAATTACAATTTCTATCGAATACTGTCTTTCTTACTACCTTCATAATTCGAAGTCTAATTTCATGTTTAGTTCGTGGCTGCCTACCGCTTTGTGTTGTTCTCCCAATAAACACATTTCCTTCCGCTGCTCGTGCGGAGACAACGAGAGTGTAGTTCACACACAGATGGAGGAAACAGAGCACGCACATGGCAAAAACTGTGAGTCTTTTTAACTTAATATTTTGATTGAAATAAAAAAATTTTCAGCACTTTTTCAGCAATTTGGTTAAAAAAATAATGAAAGGTAATAAAAAATTAATGCTTTTCGGAACAAGTTACCTCCTGTTACAAGTTACAAATAACAAACGTGATAGGCAAGGGCGGATCTAGGATTTTCTCGAGGGATCGAAATCTCGACATCATTGATAATTAAACTTTTATTTTCCTAATTAACTTAGAACTATATCTTGTAAAATTGTTTGAAATTGTTGCCACTTGCACTTGATTTTGTTTTTGAAAAAGTGATTATGAAATTCCAGGTGAGTTCTGCTTCCGACTAATTCGACGCAATGGACTACAGTGCCTAGAGTGTGGGATTGTGATGCATGCCTACTGCGAGAACTTCAGACTGGACAAGCTGAGAAGAGACTACCCACAAGTTAGTTGAACTTAATTCTTTTTCTTCATATAAGAAAAAGAATTACTACATAATTACTACAGACTTACTTCATGTAATGAACAAGAAAACTACCAACCAACTTATAACTTTACAGCTATGGCTATCAATCAATTTTTAACTTAAGCGAAATCCAAAAAAAATAAATCTGACTATTCGATATTATCTCAAATTCCGAACTTTACACAAAAAAAAACAAAAAATCTACTGATTTAAGCTCCTTCTAATTTATAAATTCCGCTGTTTCGTAAATAATGGTAACTAAATAGCCTTTTTTTATTAGCCCCCGGTCCTACTCAATGCAGGACCAACCGTTAGGGGAGGGGGCATGTCATCCATTTCGCCGTAGCAAAAATAGCCTATTAACACAGTTGAGCATATCAGTTGAGAATCTACTTGATATTTTTAGGAATTCTTCTTCCATCAACTGATGAAATCCAACACACTGAGCACACAACCAGAACCCGTCAAAAAATCATACATGTTTTGTCAGACAGAAGACCGAATTGCCAAAAGACACAATTTGAAATTCGTCAACGCAAATGTCGAGAAACTTCTGACTCCTCGAAACTGCCTCGTATGTCGCAAAATGGTATTCATAACAGGCAAAAAGGGTGAAAAAGAATGTGAAATGTGCAAAGAAATTGTTCATCAAAAGTGTGAAAAGTTTCTGACCTTGAAAACCGGAGGAACTAATGCTTCAGCTGAGGAAGATCGCGCTTATATGAGCGGAGGTTTAACGGTGAGCGCCGTCGAAAAGGAGAACTTTTTCATTCAACAAGAGACATATTGTATCAGGCAACAAACACATGCTCTTGAGAAATTAACTCAACAACTTGAGTCAAACCGGGTGGTGAAAAAATGTACACCAAGTTGCTCAACATCGCGTACCGAAGAACATCAACTATCGATGGTCTCCGAGCAAAGCGAATCACAAGTCGGTGACAATGAAATTGAACTGATAGAAAGGGAAGGAAACGGCGTGCCAGAAGTTCCAAGTATTCATGGCTTCAATACTCTAACGGTAGAAGAATCCGTTAGCAACGAGTACTCAAGAAGCAGGTCTCATGCTCATTTATACCAAGTAACTTTCAACGCCAACACAGCCGAAGGTTTCGACAGTTTCCAAGCATCATCCCAACTTGATGATCAGTGTTCCACGATGCAGCAATCTTTTGATGTTCAAGCTGCAACGGCGAGAGACCATACTCAGGAGGGTAGTCTTGGAAAGGAAGATTTAACAATTGGCCCCGGTAATCAAGAATAGTAAGTACAAATTTCTGCAACTTCCACCCTCGTAAAACTGAAAATAATATATATTAAGAATAGGGCCTGATATTCAAAATCTTTATTCACGTGCAATTCTGTAATTTCAAAAGCTTCACTGTTGCTCGTAATCAGATTTAACTCAATCTTATACTTTGTTTTAGTTTCTTTTCATCGTGGCTAAACGAGTCGGAACCACAAGAATGGGGCTCACAAAACTTGCCGCAAATATTACCCTTAATCCATATTGTCAGCGAGCTGCAACCTTTGATGGACAAAGAAAGGTCAAACACTAGTAAAACAATAGTATTCACAGAAGTAAACCAAGCAAACTGGGACAAACAGGAAAAGATCGTTCGCGCGAATAAAATTCACTGTTCGTCAACATGCCATCATGTCGAACATACGGTCGATACACTCCACGAAATGGAGGTTTTTGGTCCGATGGTGAAAATAAAAGAACAAATTGTAGTATGGGAGTAATATCGTAACATACTCGAACGAAAGTATTAAATATTACGTAAACAAATGTCGGTTATATACAATGAATTAATAATGTAAAATTTGTTAATTAAAAACTTCAGCGTAACTTTCCCGAAAAATCAGGATAAATAGTAGCAAACACGCTTGACGGGGGACTTGGAACAAAAAATAGCTTGGGATTAGAAATAATGTACTTAAACATGAACCTTGACTAACTATTTTGCTTGTTTTAAATACTCAAAGTCCAATTTAACTCAAGGTAAGGGATCCCACGCAAAACATCAAGTTAATTTAATCAAAGTGCGAATTACTTACAAAAAAGGTCGAAAAAAATAGGTCCGTCCAACGCTACATAAATGCATCAACAAGTACTTCACACAGGCGAGGTGAAGCTTAGCATCAATTGCTATACAATAGAAAATAGCGAACAGAAAATGACACGAAAATTACTACGAGCCGAAAGTGTTCAAAACAAAACAGAAAAACGCAGCCACCAGAACTAAAAGACCGTTAATTACTTAACCTAGCGAACACAAAGCCGACAATAAATGGGTGGTCGCCAATTGAGCTGAAAACAAAAAAGTCATAAGAAATAGTTGTCGTAAAATAACTTAGAACTTACACCATAACCTATCTGAACGATCTTGTAGTAACCTATCTGAAAAAAAACAAAGTCTCCCGCATCCAAATTTAGACGTAAGTAATCGATTATAACGGATTAGTATGATGATTTTTTGACGATTATAATTGAAAAAAATTACCAAAATTAGGTGTTTAAAGGATTTATAATTAATTATAATCGTGATATTTTCCAAGAGTTTATGACTTCCTATAATCGATTATAATTGCATATAGTTCTTACAAAAAACCCTTAAAGTTAATTATAATCGATTGTAATCTCTTATTTTGCCGAAATTTTATCAATTCAAAACTACATTTGAATTTCATCTTATGGGTTGATAAATTTGTGTCCATAAGAAAATCTTTAAAAGAGATATTTTGAACATTTTGGTTTCAAAAGTTTCATAGAGATCCTTTCATATTATTGGAAAGGTTCCCGCGGTAGATGAAA